TTTTTTTTTTGTTTTTAATTGGATTATATCTTAAAGTAATTAATAGAGATAATCATGTCAATTACTTATCATGTAGTGCTCCTTTTTATTATCTAATAAAATAAATAAATAATTCAATTCTTCAACAAAATGAACCCAGATAAATTGAACAGAACACAGTTATGACTTATGACCAATTACAAGTCCAAAATTAGGAACAAAAATCGTAAAAATATACTGCGATAAATAATGTCCCATTCAAAAGGGGGCCAAAACCCCGGAACCCACATTTACAAATTTACCCTCAGAAAGGCTACCTCGCCCATCAGGGCCCTACTCATCTACATCGCAAAATATGCAGGGTGTAAATTACCACTCACTGCACCTAAAGGGGTCTTACCATGCGCCCCTCCGCACATGATTTAAAACCCCGACCACGAACACAGCGTGTTCTTCCTTTAATCAAAAAGAGAGAAAGAAAAAAAGAACAATCTAACCGATTTTCACAGAGAATCAATCACCATTCACCACCATGGATATGAAGGGAACTCATTATTGGGCCGATCAATCGGGCCCAACCGCGACACGGTGAACCCAGCAATCACAGCGTCATTGGCGCACGGATGAAAGGACGTCATAGCGCGGTCCGGCACCGATTTCTCGCACTCATCGCAGAAAACCCTCCTGCTCCCGTTATTCGCCACCATCATCGCCGCCGGCGGGGTAACGGGATTCCAATCGCCGATTCCGGAAATCGAATTACTCTCCTGGCCACTGCCGGCCACGAAACCCGGCGAATCCAAATCACCCTTCCCCATCGCAAATTGGTAATTATCCCTCTGAATCCTCAGGCTATGAAGGCGGTCGCTGAAATCCGAGAGCTCTGACTGCGTAATCCGGCCGTATAACGGCATCTGTTGGTTCCTCCGTAGCAGCACCAGATTCTCCGGCACCGGACGCATCTGCGGATGCTGAAGAAACTCGCCGTCGGAGAAAAAACCGGCGAATTCTACACCGTTCGCCGCCCTCTCCCTGCGGCTCCTCGACTTGCGCGATCTCTTCAGAACGACGAGGAAGGAGCAGTTCTTCTGGCGGCAAATCAGCCCGAAGTTGACCTTCCCGGTGATCGGAATCCGCCGCCGATCCTCCGCGAACAGCGTCCTGCGGCTCCTCCCCCTGTCGACGAGGTAGATGGAGATTTGGTTGGGTGAGATCCCAATCTTCTGGCTGAGCATGTGCTGAAACGGCTTGTACTCGAGCGTCGGGTCGACTTTGACGTCGCCGATGTTAATCTCCTTCTCGCCGTCGAAGAACACCACGGGGAACGACGTCCATCCGCCAACCTCGACCATGACGTCCGCCAATCAAAAGGGCAAAAAAAAAAATAGAAGTAGAACAATGAACAGAGGCGAAAAGTGGAGCGAGCTTGTTTGGGAAGAAAAGTGTCTAATTTATATAGACGAAAGGGGGAAGGTTTTAAGGGATAGAAATGGAATTAATATATATGTATGGTGGGGGTAGTTTGGGAATAAACAAGGTAAGGAAAACGCATATGACGTGGGATAGCGGGGTAGTTTCGAGAAACTATATTTCGATAAAACTTGCGCTCCAAGCAATTCATTATAAGCATTTGTTGGTATACTGTGTCAGACTATAAGCTTCACCGCGTTACCCTATATTATTATTTCATTTTGTTTTTGTTTCATAAAAAATTGGGACCATAGTTTTTTTTTTTTTTTGTTTACATCGGTGATACTGTTCGGGCCGACCATTCGGACATGTTCACAAAATAGACACGGTCATGGCCCGACCCAACCTACTTGTTTGGCCCGTAACCAGCATGTGGTTAATGGACCTTGAACATTATCCGCAGTTTGACCGGACTAGTTTTGGATCACATATTTTAAATTTTTGAACCGTCCGTTCAATTTTGAACTCGAACTAAAACGAATCGCAGTTTAATTTGTTAATTGAACTAGACCAACTCGAAACTGTCGGTTCACTGAACCGGTTCAGCACCCTCTAACCGTTCGCCTAGAACCCTCGATTTTTTCCATCCTTGATCTAGTCGACTTCGGTCGGATCAAAGTAAAACATACTCCCTCCTATTCATAATCTACTAGTACGTTAGCCCGTGCAAATGCACGGAACTATTAAAAATAAATGAAATAAGGAAACATAAAATAGAATAAATAATTTTTATATGCCATTAAAATAGACTACTATATATATATACAATGTTTATATTTGTATATTTTATGTCTCATTATATATCAGTATCTTGTGTTTTTTTATTTGTAACTCGAGAAGCAACAATGTAAAGTTCAGAATTAAAAGCCTAAAAGTAGATTTCTATATATATATATATATATATATATATATATATATTCTTTATTTTTTTATTAATAGAACAAATTGACATAGTATTAACGAATTTTTTTTTATATAGCTTTTTTTTTTAGTTTTTTTATATATTTTTCCTTGAATTTAATGAAATTCTTTCTAAAACAGTAATTTATTTATTTATTTTTTTATGAAATCTAACGATGTGGACCAAAATTTATTGATAAACGAAAAGTTGAGTAACTAAATTGATTTAATTGGAACATCATGTTCTAAATGCGCAAATATATATAGTTGGGATATAAGAAAATTCTCAAATTATTTTATTATCTTAACACATTTTATTACAGTTTGTTTGAATTTATCATGTTATTTAGATCGTATTTTGACACTTGAATATATTATTTCTTACTTGTCTGGTTTTATAATTTATAATGTAATCTTACTTATTAACTGTTATTTTCTATACATATATTTACAATTTTTTTATTTGTGAACCATTCTTTTATTTAAATAAGTATTATATTATTATCTAGTATCTTCATATTTTTAGAAAGACTTTAAATATAAATTATTATTTAGCATACATCATAAATAATTCACCGTGATTCAACATATCATTTACATGTAAAAAGAAATTTACTTTTTTATTAATGAGAAATCAAAACAGACAAAGCATTTTAAAATGTCTATCTATAAATGGTAATAACAAATTTAGGTCTACTTTTACTATTAACATATTATTAAAAATAAAAAAAAATAACGGAGGTTGAAGCACGTTTAATAAAAGAATAAAAAATTGGAACTAACTTTCCATAAATAGTAATATAATGAGGGACCCACTAAAACACTTACTATTTTTAGTAAGTGGGTTGCCTAATTATATAGTAATAGATATATATATATAATTACTCGCTAATGCATTTAACAAAAAATTTAATAAAACCTATTTTTATTTCCCTCCCAAAGGAGTTACATTTTTTTTAATTAATTACTCACTAATATGCTAAAATCGTTACACCTTAATATATATATTTTTATTATTTAATTTTTAGATCAGTTACTAAATTAATTCTAAATTTGGTAGCAAAATATTCAAATGTGTAACGACTAATGTTGGAATTTAAAGTTGATTGTCACATTAAGGGTTGTAACCGCTATATTTGTTTGCATTGTTGGAAGAAATATATGATTGACACCTATTTTTTTTTTCTAAAAATAAGAAACACCAGTAATTTTTTTATTTATGTTACTTTTCTTAATATATGCCACAAATATATAAATTGTTTTTTTCATAAAAATATTGCATGGTTAAAATAAAATTTTAATCTCATTTAATTTTGAATGATAACAGTAATTTAAGAAAAAGTAATAATTTTTATATGAAAGAAGTAAATGTCTAATTAATAAATACAAACAAGAACGTGTTTATATCTTTACAAATGCACAGGATCATATACTAGTAAGTGTCATTTTCAGAAGTTGCACATTTATTAAGAATATTTTTTTGTCAATAATAACTCTCATTAATGAGGATAGAGATGAATAAGTGAATATGAAAAAACGTAGTGCATTTATTAGCTATATGAGGGTAATAATGGAAAAATATGTGCAAAATATCCAAAACGACATTTATTTTGTTAATAGTTGATAATGCCAAAATGACATTTAAAAAAAATATGATGTAGTAGTGTCTTGATTATTTCGGGGTCGATCAGAATCGTGATCGATCTAGGTGGTCTTCGAATCGGGTAACAATTCTGATTAACCCGATCAAAATGGCATTGACCTGGTCGTCAAATCGAGTAAATCCAGTTTGATGCAACCACTATATATTTTTAAAACATATTTAAAGAAAAATGTGCAATATATTTATGTGGTAAATATTTATTAGGAAAAATATTAATTAACATTTTGGTATAAAGTTCAATACAAAATATTTATATTTGTTATTTTATGTATATTTTAGTACAAAAATAGTACATATATATTTCTAACATTTTTTAAATTAATTACCCCGATTGACTAGACGGTTGAACTAGTGATCCAAAGGCCAACCGAGCTGTGATTATCAGGTCGTGTTTAACAATATTGATTAAAAATTAAAAATTATGGATATATTTATCACAGTAAATATTTATGATGAGATATACTATTACTGAACTTTGTATATATAAGCTATTTATTTTTGTTATCTTTATTTATATGTATAAGATAAAAAAACATATACTACCTCGGTACCTCCTATTCTTTTTAAATGTCATTTTGGCATTATCAACTATTAACAAAATAAATGTCGTTTTGGATATTTTGTACATATTTTTCCGTTATTACCCTCATCTAGCTAATAAATACCCTACGTCTTTTCATATTCACTCTTCATTTTTTCTCTAAACATTCATCTCTATCATCATTAATGAGGGTTATTATTGGTAAAAAAATGTTTTTAATAACTGTGCAACTTCTCAAAACGACACTTATTATGAATAGGAGGGAGTATAAAAATTTGAATTTTTTTTAATTATTTATCTAATTCAGACTTGATGGCCTGTTGAACCTATAATCTGGAGGCCAATCAAAGTCTATTTACGGGTTCAGTTTGAAAATTTCGATGGCGACTCATTTTATCATTTTCTTAATGGACTTTATTACCCTTCTTTTTCCCCAATTTGACTAAAAAGTCAACCATATTTCCGAACTTCTTCAAAATTGAAAAGAATTTGGACCGATTAAGCGGTTTCAAAAACACACGGTTTCAATTTTTTTTCTTGTTTTTTTTTTTTACTTTTATTTTAAGGCAAATGTTACAGTCCGTTTACGGAACTATTCCGTCATAATTTGTAACCGTTAGATCATCATATAGCCGTCATGGATAATTGATTTAATGGTTACAAACTCCGACAGAATGATCCTGTAACGGGACCATAAAATCTCCTTTCTTTTAATGTACAATTATATATGGTTAAGAAATGTAGTGGGAAACTTTTTATTTGTTATTATTTTATTTTGATTAAGAAGAAGAAATAGCATGGAACATAAGAATGGAATTATGGACATGCTTTTTCACGTGTCCGCGTAAACTTTCTCTGCTTAAATTAGCATGCAAACTACATATAGTATATGAAAGATATTGGTTTGTTTTTGCCATTATTTCATAGTTAATGATATCAAAGCTTGCTGGAATCCATCTTCAACGCCATTGCTTTTAAGTATTAAATTATTATTTCAAATAAAAAGATTGTACGCGTTCGCTAATAATAACCAAATGTGGCATGTTATTATTATTTATTAGTAATGCTAGAGAGCTAATTGTTGGTTCCCTAACGGAGCCAACAGCCAATGGGACAGCTCTATGTGGGGTTGTCCCACATTAGAGTCATGTGAGACAACCCCACATGGAGTTGTATAATTAGTTGTTGGCTATCACTGTATTATTTATTTATTTGTTTACTTTTTGAAAATGGTGCAATTAATGGGTTGCTTGGAAAACATGTTTTTACATGTTAAGTCATTATGGATAGGGTTGAGGGAAAAAAAAAAA